CATGGGCGCAGAGAATCTAAGAGCTGCAGTACGAAAAGCCGTGATGCCATCTTCTCTTCACTTTGCTACATGAGCAAATGCTTTACAAAAAACAAAATCTGTTTCTTTCTGGCAACTCAAAAACGCATAACAAGCCCTCCCTAACACGCTCTGATTCTTAATACGAGCCACCTGTCAGACCCAAGGCTAGGTCCGTTGCATTCACAATCTTTCAAACCTTTTTGGCCGTTTTTCTTGGAGCTGTGAATTAGCAAAACCTGAGACAGCTCATTGAACTTTGCTGGCTAATGGCGTGATCCTAGAGGAGCTGAACAAGTCCTGGCTCCCACCGATTTCACAACCGCTCCCGATCAGGTCCTAATACCGTTCTCCTAAGCAAGGGGCTTCAATCCCCGATTTTAAGGAAATTGATGAGAGGAAGAACAGACCTTCCCTGGAGTTCAACCAAGGTTGGTAGCAGCAAAACCTGACAAGAGCTCCACAAAGGGGGCTTCTGAAGGGAAAACGCGGTTTGATCTGTTTCTGGCTAGGCTCTTCCTTGAAGCTGAACTTGAAAGGCGGTGTTTTGAATGGCAGAGAGATACTGAAGCCCCATAGATCTGTATCTAAGGCAGAGAGTTTTAATCTTCCATAGGATGATCAGAAAGCTCAAAGTCCACAGGTGAGCATTCTCCAAAGGACACCAGCTTTGGTGACTCGCCTCTTTCTGTTAGATTGCCCGCTGCAGAATTCAGCAGTGACCTACTCTCCTGTACCCAAGTTTGATTATTTGGCTGTGGAAGTCGGACACCCCCCCCCCCATTGGTTTTTCTATTTCTGTCCGCGATTTGGATGCGTAGCAAAATCACAGCAGCCAGTTAGTTAACTGCCTTCTCCTTTTCTTAACTTGTAGCAGCATAAAGGAGGAAAAGTGTAAGCCCCCTTCCCTGATCTGCAATGGATGCAGCTCATGAACATCTTTCACAGGACAGGATAAATCAGGGAGGGGTTTCGTTTTTGGGGGGGGGAGAAAAGGGGGAATAAAGAACTGAGGCTTTGTGCCCCTATCTCTGTATTGATCAACTCCCTGCTCCGCGAACGCCAGTGTTTGGGGGGGGGGGACAACGGGGGGTTAAGGATAGTAGCTTCTCGGTGCGTTTTACAGACTTCACACCCCCACGGCCGCAGGAAGCC